TTTGCCGGTACAGAAGAAAAATTTAATTGGGATGATGATGATGATGATGATGAAGGAGAATTGCAAGAAGAAGTGGAGGAGGAAGAAATGAGTTTTGATGAGTCATTAGGAGCTGAAACAAATCTTCCTCCGATACCATCTACTTCATTTCAAGAACAGGAATCAAGCGATAACGACAAGAATTTGGAAGGACAAGAAAATCGACATAATGCTAGATCTACACGTCGTAATCTTAAAATGTGGAGTTTAGGTCCAGTTTTAGAAGTAGACGATGATGAGGAAACATCAATTTCTCAAATTTCACCACTTGATGATTCATTAGTTTCAGAATTAAGAAAGGAGGAAGAAGAAATGGCCACATCATCTGAAACCAAGAAAACTGAAGACCCTCAATCCGCACGTAAACGTCGTCGACTTGCTAAAGTTTTTGAAGTGGAAGAGGAGAGTGGTGGTGAAACAAATTTTGTTAAGCCATTACCATCAGAGCCGTCTGGAGATGAAATGGACATTGATATTGAAGAGGAAGAGGGGGAACATGATCATTCCTCTCATAGGCTTCGACGACTTCCTAAAGTACGTGATTTACGATCTGTTGTCACACTCAAAGATATTGAAGAAAAATCGGGTAAGCGGATTTCTTGGAGTACATTTTCGTCACTTGGTACCTTAGGTATTAATGATACTAGCACAGAAGCCAAATTATCATATACATTAACACCATCTTCATCAAAATTAAACCGCAAAGAATCCGTCAAATCCTCATCAGTGTTTGAAACTCAAGGAGAAAAAGGAAAATCAAAGGAAGTTGAACGAGAGTCCTTTAAAGGAAAAGATAAATCAATTATAAAACCTTCGTCTTCTAGGCCAGTCTCCAAGAGTAGTAACGTTACTCCGAGGTCACCTAGAAAAAGCTCGGAATCCTCAGTAAAACGTATTGTAATCACCGAACCTACCTCAAAAAAGCTTACAGGTCAACATGATATCACTACTGAACCTAGTAGCAGCAGTAGCCAGGCTCCAATTAAGAACCTTTTTTATACAAGAACTTCTTTAGATAAACCTTTACCGCCACTTCCTTTTTCAGATGATCAATCAAGAAAGCCCCCTTCAATTTCTTCAACATTAAATTCTCAATCACCATATAGGTCTTTCATATTAAACTATCGGTCAGAAGTTATCGCAAAACAATTTTGTTTAATTGAACGTGATCTTTTACTGAAGGTTAATTGGGAAGAATTGGTTCAAGTTGGTTATACGAGTAACGATAAAGATACGGAAAGTGTTCAAGAACTTGAAGGTGAAAAGAAAAAGAAGGATGTTAAAGGAAAAGGTAAAGCAAAAGAAGTTGAAGTAGAGCAAGAATTTCTTAAAGGGGAACCAAGGAAAAGGGTTCGGGTTAATGGTGTTGATAAAGTAATTGAAAGATTCAATTTGGTAAGTTTTTCAGAAGTTGATTCCTCCCTATCTACAATATAAAACTAATTTCACTTTGGAATTAACAAGTCATGTGATTGGGTCGCAACTGAAATCGTACTTACTAGATCTATGGAAGATCGAATACGAGTAATTGAAAAATTTATACGAATTGCGCAGGTATATACTATTCTTTCTTGGCTATATTTCATTGGTCTTCTTTTATGAATCTAACACTTTTCAAAATATACATATATATATATATATATACGTATAATTTTTTATTAGAAATGCCTTCAATTTTCAAATTTTGCTACATTAACACAAATTCTTCTTGGATTACAATCTTCGCCCGTAGAAAGATTGAGGAGAACATGGACCAGAATTAGAAAAGAAGATTTACGTATACTTAAAGAACTAAATGAATATATTTCACCTTTCGGTAATTGGAAAGTAATTAGAGAAGCTATGAGAAAATCTATCGAAGATGCCACTATATTAAAAGCATTGATCAAACAAGGAAAAAGACGCGGCTCCGATGTTCGTAAAATTAATACTGGATGTATTCCATTTTTAGGTTCGCATTAGAATGAAGTTTTGACTCCTTTTTTATTATTATTATTTATTTTTATTAAAGCAAATAATACTTTTACTAGGATTGTATTTGTCGGATTTGGTTTTCAATGCAGCAGTACCATCGTTTATTGATCCACCATCACAACCTCCAACTCCATCATCACCGTCATTTAATGTACCATCATCACCTTTATACCATCAACAGCCGCTTATTAATTTTCATAAACACCGTACAACAGCCACAATAATTAAAAGGATATTAACATTTCAGAACTTATCAAGAGAATATAGTTTTTACGTTGACAAAGAAATCTATGACAAATGTTTTGGATTAAAAGGGTTCGAAGCAACCAAATTAGTTGTAATGGATTTAGATGTTGATGATTTTGTTTAATTATATCATTAATGTTATTGGTTCTTTTTACTATATTTGGATGTTATTAAAGTTTGTTTTTTTAATTTTCTAGGTAATAGGTATTAATTTTTAATTGAAAAAAAATTATCATATTATTTTTTATACTTAATATATTTCAAACAATTGTAAATCAGCATCATTTCAACGAGATGTATATATATATGTGTGTGTGGCAAAAAAAAAAAAAAAACAATTATCAATGTATATTTATTAGGATATCATTTAGTATCGATATATATTTTCTTAATATCAATGTTAATAAAAGTATATATAATATATTATTGTTTCATATAACGTAGCAAGAGTTTCTAAATGGAAGATTTAGCAAGGCCAAAGTACAGGAAGGATTGGTCCCAAATAAGGTTACTTATAAAACCAAATCAACACATTTCGACTAAAAATTTCGCAACGATTATTTATGATAAATCCATTGTTTATAACGAAAATCGTCTTGCCTCTCCCTTTAAAATGGTGACCTTCGAGAGAAGATAAGGTACAGGTAAAGATTTTTAAAACGAAATTTATGTGCGCGATGCACGAATATATTCTGCGCAGAATACCTTCATCAATTTGTACAAATCATTTTGTTAGTGGTTAACGATCAATCATATTAGATGAGAAATTATTATTATTTCTCCGTAATAAAAAAAAATGTCTACTTTAGGATAGGGTTAAATCAAAATTTGGTGTAGAGCCTTTGACGCAATTCATTTCGTTAGTCTTTTTTCTCTCTGAGAATAATTGTCTTTATTGATTATAACAATATGTAAACCGTCCTATTTATTTATTCACGAAAGGAAAACAAACTAAGTTTTTTTACATGCTTATTAATTAAATGATGCGTTTACAACGACTGCAAATATGGATGAACCGGCTCAGATAATATCAATCATGTCCATGATATATTATCCAATATGCGAATCAAAATACTGCAAGAACGAATCGGTATTGTAAGATGTTGTGTGAGGATTATAATCATTGTTGTTTTCATTATCAGTTTTTTTCAATGGTCTCTGAGCTTTACGCTTGGACTATTATTGAAGCGAAGGAACGGTATCGAACTATTATCGTTTTTATTTCATCGTAGCGAGTAATAGTAAAAAAAAATATCCTTGTATCAAGATTTTTTCAATTTGAAATTTTTTGTTTGCCATCTTTTAGTTTTGATCTTATTCTTTCCAACATAAAATTATTTTCCACTAAAATGTAAGGGGAAATTTCTAATGAAAATGCGAGATCATTTAAAGAGATTGCCGAATTACCTTTTCCATTATGAGAATCATCTGATCTAATCTTAATTATACAATCATGAACAATACTTTTCAGATGTGCCTAAAACATTATAGAAAGTTGCTTTAGTGTATGTTGATAGTGAAAGGAAAACCTTTAAATCATAGTTTATGAAAGATTGAAAACCTCCAATGCAAAAATCATCAAATTTGCACAATCTTCAGACACACCACCAATTAATCCATTATCCAAAGCGATTTCTGTCATTTTTGTATAAATAGAATCGAAATCTGAAATTCCTTTCTCCTCCTCATTCATTAAAGATGAAGAGGTTAAAGGTTGTGAATGATCAACGAAATTTCCGTCATCCAATGCCTTTTTAGGAAACTTTTTCTCAAATAACATTAAACTTGGATTTGGATGTGAAGTTGTTTGATTATCTCGTGTATTCTAATATAAGGAATATGTTAAAAAGAAATAACAATAACTTAACGTAGGAATTAAACAAATTACTCACTTTTAAAATAACGCGTAATTTATCCCTTTCTTCCTTTCCCATTGTAGACATGAATTTTTCTAGAGATCTTTCGTTATAAGGTGATGATGCATATCTAACGTTATTCTGATTCGCTTTGCATGTATTCTTTAATATTATGCTCGCACGAATAAATTTATCATGTAAATGAACTATTTATAATACGATCATTGAAAATGTTAATATGCGGCATTTACTCTATACTTGTAACTAAAAAGAAAGCCAATTTTGAAACTTGTAACTTACCATATTCTTTTGATAATAAAGAATGCGCATAAAGATCCAATTCAACTTTATTTAGTTCCCCTTTAACGAACGATTGTATTGCTGACCAATATTTTTCCTTATTGATACCTAAAATTTCATCAAGAGAATTTTTTAATGAAATTGGATCAAGTTTTGTTACAGTTTTTCGTGTTGCAGAAGTAATTCGTGGTAATGACCTTCCAGAAGAAATGGTTGTTTGAGAATTTGCAGGTGACATAAATGGTTTTTGTCCCTCCTGCTGTCGGTCTTGTTGTTCTTGTCCCTGGTCTCGGTGTGCTGAACATGAAGGGTTTACTGTTCCTGAAATAGGTGATGATTGTGAAATATTAGAATTTATTGGTGTTGTTTGAAGAAATTCACGTTTAAAAGGTTTTTCTTTCCGCTTATTATTATTAAACATGATGGTTAATTTAAAAATTAAAATGATTTAAAATCGAGATATTTTTTTCGAAATGTCCCGTGTGTCACGGAGATTGATCATCCTTTTTTTTTTTATAAAAAAAAAAAAAAACCTTATTTTGGGCAAGCTCTTACTTCATTCTGTCAGAACTTATTATTAAGAAAATGGGTTATGAAGCAAATAGGTACTAAAAATAAATTTTATATTTTCGTTGATCTTGTTTTGTTGGTTAAAGGTGTATTAACGACATGGAATTGAATCTTATTTAGTATAATATCACCTGAAGATAACATTCCAATTTATTTTCTTCGAAAAACATATGATGATTTAAGTTGGAATGGTTTCGTAGAAAGTGTACAATCGTTCATTAATGCGGTAATATTTTTAAATTTCTTTTATAATATTTTTATTACCTTTTTGAATTTAATTGATTGAATTTGATCTTTGAAATTTGAATTAAAAAAAGGTTGATTGGTCACAACCTTGGCTATGGACGTTATTAGGTTTTCACGTTATAACACTATTCACCATATTTAAATTACGAAATAATACAACCTCTTTAGCGGTAATAACATTTGGTTCAAGTAAGTTCAATATTTTACATCTCTCCTTTATATTTATATATTCATCAAGTCATTTTTAACATTAAGATATTCTTAAAGTGTTATTTGTCGGTTTAGCTAAACCCATAAATACTTTAGCACACGATAATTGGCAAAAATTTTCCATAGATAATTATTTTGATAAAAGTGGTTTTTTCATTTCGATGGTATTCTCTTTTCCGCTATTATGTAATTCTATGTTTGGTATAGTAAGTATCTTCTAATTGATCAATTTGTTTTCTTTCTTTCATCGTTTTCATGGTTGATTGTTAAATTATTGATGAAATTTTCTTTTCGTCAGGTATTGATACTAAATGAAGTGTTACATTTATTGAGAAAAGTTAAAATTGCACAAATTAAACATCAAAGAGCTAAAGTTAGTTTATTGGAAGAAAAAAGAAAAGAAAAACAAGATGATAAGAAACTTAAAAATAAGTAAATTATTAATATACAGAAATTAATATTAATATTATTACTATTATTATTTTTACAATTATCTTTGATCTTGTAAAATATGTAAATAACTTTTAACTTAATTATTTTAAATTTTTTATTCATTTAATTATTAAATAGATAATATTATTTTTAAAATCTTTCAAAGAGATTATTTAATCAATTTTCATAGATTTATCATCAATGACTTGTTTCTTTTCAATAGTATTTTCAACATGCTGTTTAATAGTTGATAATGGATCAGCCTTAAAAGCAGAATGTTGTAATACTTGATGAAACCTTTGAATCTCACTCTTCCTAAAATAAAATTGTTGTTTAGATATTTCAATCCAATTCCAAGGAAAGATAGAAACTTTGTACTCACGCAATATTCTTTCGCATCGATTTTGATTTTACGGGCTTCATGTTTAATCCTATATGTGAATTGGATTTCTTTTGTGTATTTTGATTTATGGATTCAAATTCTTTGTCAATATCAGGAAGAAATTCTTTCAACTCTAAAATATTTAATGTTGTTTGTTCTTCACAAATATCCATTTTTCGTGATTTTTTTTTTTTCTTGGATTTCTGTGTGGATTTCTTTGAAGGATCGAATTCTTTTCACAAATCATTAAAACTTTTGATCAATAATCGGTTGCATAATTATATTCTTTTTTTTAAAAAAAAACAAAAAAAAATTACGATTGTAATTTAGTGCCTTACTTTCTATCCATTTTTTATGCCGTTCTTTTGCTCTTTCTTTTTTGGTATGCGGTATTTCTGGAAGTAATTTTTCCTTTGAATTCGACTTTGTTTAGGAGGGAAATAATAAAAAGAGAATTAAAAACTTGAATGATTTATTTAAATTAAATGACCCTTAAAGTAATAATAACTTACTTCCTCATTAAGAGCCGATCCAACTACAACCTTTTCTACTTTATCAGTCGATACTGCAAATTTCCTGTTGGAAACATTCGAGACATAATGAAGTGACTTGCGACTTCTTACTTTTGGCTATATATAATGTTGAAATGTAGCATAAATGGTATAAATAAATATTATGCTCAAACGTTAAGGCTAATTTTAAATCAAATCATGAAAATATTTTACCATTATTAATCTCGAGAAAAGAAAGAAAAAAAATGAACATTCAAATGCCAAAATTATCATGTGATAATTCGATCGTTAACCACCAATTATCTTCTTTTAGATTTCAGAGTCCAATCAGAATTCTAATCCTTATCAAAACTTTTTTTTTTTTTTTTTGAGAAAACGTTTCAACATAAAAACAACGTAATAAAAATGTTAATAAACTTTTCAAAATTTATTGAAACAACAATTAAAGCTGTGACGTTACGCACCGTGAAAGCACCAGTACCGCCACCGATTATAATAAGACATAAGAGACGTCTTCCACCTATAAATGATAATTGTTTGCTTTTAACCGCGTTGAAAACTTATGGAAATTATAATACCTCTGATAAATCCCATCATACATTTACTCGCCTTGCGTTTCTTGGTGATAGTATCTTGGCGTATACTGGTACAAAAAAAATAATTTACCCAATTATTCCTTATTTTGAACGTGTATATCATATAAACCTAACATAATTTTTTTTCCTTCCTTCCACACCCCCCCCTTCTTTTTTCACAAGTCGCGGATCACTTGCACGAAAAATTCCCGTCATATAGCAACGGTAAATTGTCCTTATATCGATCGATGCTCGTAAGCTCTAATCAACTTTCAAAATTTGCATGTCAATGGGGTTTGGATAAAATCGCAAACGTTGATTTGACACTTGCAAAAAAAAATCATCGAATCTTGGGTGAAGCTCTCGAGGCATATATTGGTGCTTATTATTTGGATTGTTGTCAAGTGAATGGTAAGAACGGCGCTCATATGAAGGTGAGAGAATTGTGTATCAGCCTAATCGATCCAATGCTTGACTTGATTAATAAAACGTGGAAAGTATGGATTACTATATTTAAAGTTAACTTAACAATATTTCTCATATTATCCATGATTTTTATGCATTGACATTCCTTTTTTTTTATTTTTTTTACAAATCAACTTGAAATTAGAATGTTATTCATTCGTTTAAATGAAGCCATTCAAGAGAAAAAGACACAAGAAAGATTACAAAGAATCGTAAGCCTTAACTCTAAATATCATCACCATCTTTTTTTCCTTTTTTGACAACAATCTAATTTGTCAATTCCTCGTAAGAAACTGCACCAAGCCGCAATCAAAGTTATTATTAAGGAAATCAAAGCTGCTAAAGATGTAAATGACGCGCAAGACACCAAGAAAACAAAGTCTAAGAAAGAAAAATTGATTCCTGAAGCTGCTAATAATCAATCCAATCCAGTTTCTTTAAAAGTTGAAACTCCAATCTCGAAAGCTGCCGACACTACAAAACAACAAATTCCCATTACATCAAAGGATACACAAGAACATACTCAGCAACAAGTAAAGGTGATAAAAAAAGCTAAAAAGAAACAACCGGAATCGAAAACTAAAAACACATTGACCTTTAATGTAAAGAAAGAACAAAACATTAAAAACCTTTCACAAGACCTAGTAGCTAAAGATATATCGAAGGAGATAGAATCTAAACATCAAATGCTCAAAGAATTAAAACGCCGGGTTAGTTTCTTAATGATATAGTGCTTATTTTTTTAAAAAAATATTATATATATTTATATACTTTCTTATTTTTTCTTAATTTTGCTCATATGACAGAAAAAGCAACAGGAGGAACTAAAAAAATTATCAATTAAACAATTATTGACGCGTCTTAAAAGACTCGTTTGAAATATTCGTCTTCGTGATTCAAGTGTGATGAAAATATATGTAAATTTTGTGGAGTTAGATTCATAAAATTTATGTATATTTAACATTTTGAAACATATCGACGGAAGAATATTAATTAATATGCGTTCGACCAATCTTAATAACGTTTGCAAAATTATCTTGTATTAAATAATTTTATTCTTTTATTTATTAAATCATTGATAAATGTAAAAAAAAAGGCTATAATGCATTATAAATTAATGAATAACGTTAAACAAAACACATTTATAACGCCGATTAATAATTTAACGATCATCAAAGGTTCATTCATAAATTAATCTACCGATACTTATTTAATGAGTAAACGCGTTTCTTTAGTGCAACTACCACTTACTTCCTTTCTTTTTCTTCTTTTTGCTCTTATTATCAGATTTAGGTTTAGGTGGTGTTTGCTGATGTTGAGCGGTAGATTCTTGTTGCGCAGTATTAGCACCACCACTAGCTGCTGCAGATTGATTCTCAGAAACCACACTACAAAGAACAAATAAATATATAAAACTTTATGATTTTGCATCAAAAATCATTCGAGAAAAGATTAAAGTCGAATACCTTTTTCCTGCTATATTAGCACTTCCGGTACCACCAATGCCACCACCAGCGATAGCGGCGCCTTGGGAACCACTTTTCATTAATTGTTTACGTTTTCCTTTTGCTTTAAAAGTAGACCTTTCGCGTTTAGGTAACCAACGTTCGGGATCCGGAGGTATGCTAGTATCATAACTCTTTGGTAGAAGAGGTTTTCTCTTCCTTTTTTTCGTGTGAGTCTTTTGAGAAGGTCCATCACTACATTATAGAACGTTAAAGGCAATTCATCAACAACTTCAAATAGCAATTTTATGTGGAATTACCTTTTATTATCAGTTTTCTTGTAACTCTTCTTTATACCAGGTACGAGTTTTTCAATAGAATCCACATCAATATCCATGCCATCACCAGAATTGATTTCCGGTAAAGAATTCACATATTTTTCGGCCTTTTCAATATCGTAATGAGAATAAGCTGATACTAAACCAGCTATTGCCTGTGTATCTAACGGATCAACTTTGACAAGTTGTTCGTAATCTTGTGCAGCTTCTTGATAACGTCCCGTTTTAATTTTAAACGATGCCGTTTGTTTAAGAATTGATGTGCTTTCATTCGACTATAAATGATCGGTTCAAGAGAGAGATATCAAAAGGTTGACAAAATTATTTCCGAAAAAGTAGATATGATATAAACTTACTGAAGTATTTTTCCAAAAAGTACCAGCATCTTCTAAAGTTTTAACGGCTTTATCATGCATACCGGATTGTTCGTAGAGCCAAACTAATAGACCAACATAACCTGATTTATAACGTTGCTTATCATCTTTAATAGATGATAAATGTTTTTCAAAAGTTTCTAATGCATTATTTGGATTTGATGTTAATAATTGTAATTGCATTAACGCAAAATTTATATGTAAAGATTCGGGTTTTTGCTTGGCAAATTCTTGTAAATCTGATATCGATTTGTTAATTTTTTTTTGTAGAAATGATGTTGACGCTATTAATAAATATAAATCATCATTCTCCGGATAGGTTTGTAATGATTTACGAGCCAGATCTTGACATGCCGCATACTATAAATAAAAAAAAAGGGAAATTTATTATAATTTGCCCAAAAGAAATGAATTTCCAAGGAAATACGACACGACTTGCCTTGTGCATATATAATAAAAGTAAGGCTTCATTCATAGCGATTACACGCTTTTGTCCTCTAAATAATTTTGCATCTAAATTTTTTGAACTTGCAACCCTTAATTTCCTTGCAGAATCAAATAGTTCAGTATCTTTTTTGGCGGCCACTAAATTATTTGATGCAATAGCGGATGCTGATACATCCATTCCTTTTACTTTGAGAACGCTTTGATAAATTTCAATCGCTTCCGAAATTTTTCCTTGTAATTGATAAACGTATCCTAATTGAACTTTGATCGTTCCCAGTTCTATTTCTATCTTATCTTCTGTGTAATCTTCTGATAAAAGTGATTTTCTGCACATATCTATTACCAAAAAAAAAAAAAAAATGGTAAAAGTGTTAGCCAAGTTAGGAAAACTTCGATAAAATGAAATTAATTCTACGTACTTTTGGCCGTGTTTAATAATTTTTCGGCTTTCCCGTAGTCTTTCAGACCAATATATGTACAAGCTGTATTATAAGCTAACTCATAAGTATCAAGTGAATCCATCATCGCATACTGAATTACATATTTAAAAATTAACGAAAAAATAAAAAGGGGAGGGAAATAATTTTCTATAAAAACTTTTTACAACACGTACCTTCGCGTCTAAATCACCACCTGAAAATAATAAAGCCGCTTTAGCAGCATTGAAATTAGTAAGGATATCGTTATAAACATCTAAATTCTAAAATCAAGGATCAAAGGAGAGAGTGTGTTATTAATTAAATCACGTGTAATAAACCGTTTTTTCTTTATAGTACCTTATCGGTTTCTTTTAGTAGCGCATAGTAAATCTCAACCGAGGCATTGTAATCCTCGGTTTTGTAGGCCTATTAAAAAATTTATTGAAATATTTGAAATATTCAATTCATAATCACTACTTTAAAAAATAAACTATATAATATATAAACGCACCACTTGAGCTTCTATATGCCTTAAACTTAATTCATTCTTATTTCCTAATTTATATTGTCTTAATAAATTTAATAATTCATCGAATTTATTTAACCTATAAAAACAATAGGCTTTTTCTGATATTAAATTCTCATCCGAAAAACTTTTTTGTAAAAGTTCCAATGCATTCTGATATTTTCCTAATCTTATGTATGATATTACTTTACAATGTAATGCATCATTATCTTCTGGATTTAATTGAAGAACTACATCAAATAAAATTTTTTTTTTTCGAGAAAAGAATGAAAAATTAATTGAGGAATTAACCTTTAAATTTATTACAAAAAATTAGGAAACCATAATTACTTTTATCAATGGATCTAAGAACTTTCGCATACTCTTCTTGACTAACAAGTCTTTCAACATCCTTGAATAGTTGAGTAATAACTTCTTTGGATTCTTGTGCGGCGGCCATTTCTTCTAACGCTGACGAAAAATTGATCATCCGCTTATAAAGTTTTATTGTAACACATGCGGTTCATGATTAGATTTGAATAACCAATCAAACTTTACCATCATATATTTAACAAGTTCTTTTAACGAGAATCGGTTTTTTTTTTATAGTTTCTTTCTCCCAAAAGAATTGAAGAATCATGACAAACGAATTAAATAAAGATGAACAAGGTTTACTTAAATCGATCGATACACTTCAAAACCCATTGCATGACAAAGTAACAACTAACCTTTTCCTAATTATTTTTTTTTATTTCCTAGGCATTAAATTAGACGAAGAAACAATAGACTCCATTTTTGGTACATTATCACTCGATAAATATCAACAAAACTCAAAACGTACCACTGCAAAGGGAAACTTAAAACTTCAACGTTCTCCATTTGATGAATTCAAAATATCTTCAACAGCAATTCTTGATACGTTGAATTCAAGAAGTCTTTGTCCTAAATGTACCCGTTCTATGAAATTTTTTTGTTATTGGTGTTATCAAGTTGTTGGCTGTCAAAGAAGTGATGTTCCTTACCTTAAATTACCTATTAAAATTGATGTGTGGGATCTCAATTTATTATTATTATTATTATTATCTTCCAAAGAAAAAAAAAAAAAAGAGTTTTCTAATTATTCTCTATTTAATTGTGTAAAAAAAAAAATTAGAATTAAACATTCAAAAGAATTGGAAGGTAAGTCCACAGTAGCACATGCAAAGATTATAGCTCCAGATGATGTTTCCATATATTCCAACTTAGAAATTCCCAAATATGAAAATCCAAACAGATTATTATTACTTTTCCCTGGTCCAGTAAGTATCAAAAAAGTTTTTTATCTTCAAACAGGTTTATCATAATAATAATAATAATATAATAAACCTTAGGATTCAAAAACTTTGAATGAAATTCCAAAGGATTCATTTGATAAATTGTTAGTAGTAGATGGTACATGGCAACAGGCAACAAGCTTAACAAAATTTACCGAGGAATTAAAAAACATAAGAAAGATTACCATAAAACCACAAAAAACCCTTTTTTGGAGATATCAAAATAAGAGCGAGAATCATTTAGCTACCATCGAGGCTTTATATTATTTTTTAAAAGAATATTGTGAGGTTTATGAATCTAATAATTCACCTGATCATCGTTATGATGGTAGATATGATGATCTTCTATGGTATTATAAATATTTATATGAATTTATACAAGCTACTTATAGAAATGATAAAAGTAAAAAACCTTATACTACAAGACATCGTCAGGGATATATCGAATACGATGAATAAATATTAACGGTTACAATGTAATCCGTTTTTTTATTAATTAAATTTTATTTTTCTCACATTAAATTATAAATATCAGATATTAAAAAGTTCTTTTAATTTTTTAACGGTTTCTTCGGGATTTTTTACGGAATGTCCTATCACTTTAGGATGCATATAAATTTCATAATCATTTCCTCCCTGCAAATTAAAAGTTCAAAATTTTTAACAAAAAAATTATTTTGATACTGTAAAAACTAACGCTTGGCAATTCTTACCTCGTAAGTTTTATCACCAAAAAAGTGAATCTTTTTAAATCCTTCAGACTCAATATGATCGAGACAATAAGTTTTATCCCACCCTGTGGGGAACACATCAAAAGATATCTGACCTCCTAATATTTTAAATGGGAATTTAATTAAGAAATAATTTAAAGATTTCCCCCTCCACTTTTTTTTTGATCGCATACCAATCGAAAATGTCAGAGAATAATCCGGAAAAGCATCTTTTAATGCTTGCACAAATTTAGGTCGAATGTTATGAATTTTGTCATAAGCCTCAAATTCATTCCGTTCTTCCGTACTACAAGATGATGATTTTATTAAATTATTTCTGTGGATTCAAAACTTCCATATTTTCCTACCTGCAGTTTCTTCCAATGGGTGAAACATTAATCATTCCATTCCTGAACTCTATGAATGTCCCACTGAATTGAAAGTTAAATTATTAGCGATTTAAAAATATTGAATATTTACGTGATCAAATTTATATCTAATATCCGTTCTTACCGTTTCTTTGGAAGATCAAGGTCCGCGATGTATTTCAAAATGAAATTAGCCAATTTAGAATATTTCTCCTCACCTATCCAATCAATGAAACTCTAATAAAAAAAGAATAATAAACTTTAAAATAAATTCAATCAATTAACTACTTGAAGTGTTTCGATGTTATACTTGTGACGCGAGTTGTTTTCCTAGTCTATAGGCAGTAAGTCCATTCTCAGAGAATGCAAAGTCGAATTCGTTAATAGCTATTGAGAAATTTTTTTTGAATTAATTATACTAACTAAAAAAGGAGAATTCAAAGTTAAACGTACCATTTTGTCCAAGTTGTTCTTGTTGCTTTGCAATATCAGAGCCACCTACAAACCCGACGACTACCTTTTTTTTCAAAATTTTAAGTATTTCCGCAATTTCTGGTGTTATTTTCTACGTTTAGCAACTCTACAATTATTAATTATCTCGGAATACAATTTTTTACTTTTTTTAAAAAAAAAAAAAAAAAAAAAAAATACTAACCTTACGAGCTGGTGTTAGAGTACCATCTACATCGAACAAGACGATTGTATCAGGATGTTCACGAACTTGCCACTCCGCCATGAAAAAAAACTATGAAAGAATTTTGTAATTTAACCTTGTTACAACATTTGTTTTGAACTGTACGACACTTTTTTTTCAATTGCTAGATTATTCCATTTGTATGCCGTGTAACAATGATCCCAAAACTCCGAATTATTTAAGAACTTCGAAATCATTTCCCTTTAAAGTTCGACACGATTTTCACAAAGTTTACATTCTTATTTCCCCCCAAAAGGTACTATGTCAACTCCTTCTGCATCACCACAAAAGAAACGAAGGTTATCAAACCCTTTGGCAGAAGGTTAGTATATCCTTTAGAATCCTTTCTTACTATTAACTGCTTTTATTAACGTTTTATTCGTGATCTGTATAGATCGCAGAGTTGAACCAACAAAAAAAGTACGTTCTCATTATTGCGAAATTGTAAAACTACATTAATGCTAATATCCATTTATTTATAGGCGAAGCAGGATAACTCAAATGGAGGAATTTCTAACGCGATCACTAATAAAACGGAGATACCTTTACCAATTTTACCAACACTGCCTATTAAACCCAATGTTGGTAGTAACTCAAATGCTCGCGCTGGTACTAGTACTTCAGCTTCTTCCAATAATAATGTCCAGCCGAATACTACAGGACAGAGCAGTAATAATAACATATCAATTAGCACTTCTGAGATTAACAGTAATAAAGACAAAGAAAAGGATCAAATGTCTGCTTCTACAACAAGTCCGACATCTCCTGTTAAAGGCAAAGGTATGCAACAACAGCAAACACATCAAAGAACAACTTCAATTTCTTCAACATATACACAGCAATCCAGTACACCAATGTCACAAATACCTCCACAAGAATTATTTGTTCGTTATACAAAGAAAGAAGAAGAAATTCAAACATTGCTAGTATGTTTAATTACAGTAAATTTATTTTTTATAATAATAATATAATGCTAAATTACTTAAATTTTATAAAGGGGGAACTTCAAACACTTTCTCAGATTCTTACACCTGAATTTTCATATGATTCATCGCTTCGTAAAAAATTTCTTGATCCTGCTATTAATGCATTATTTCGAACAATGAAAAAAGAGCTGGAAGATAAAGATAAATTACTTGAAAATTTACAAAGGGAATTAGATGGTGTTAGTTTTACTCCAAATAGGTGTGATATATATTATATTATTTATTATTATCTTAAAATACGAATTAATAATCATATACAAACTGTGGGGGTACAGTATTACAGGTAAAAAACTTGTCGCAAAGTTACTTGCTTTGCAAAATGAAAATGAGGAATTAGGTAGACAACTTCGACAAGGACGCGTTGAGCAATATGAAGTAGAAATAGCTTTACAACGAAAAGTTATAGATGAACTTAAACAAGGGCTTGAGGGTATTATATATTTGAATTCGCGATTGGTCCCTTTTTTTTTCGCTTGGTCGAACTTACTTATCGTACTTAATGTACGTAGAATCGGATAATCAACTTATATCTTTGGATGCAGAAATGGAAAGATTACAAAATCTTTTGTTTCAAATGAGAGCAAAAGTTAAAGGTTATGAAGAAAAATATGGTCCTTTAGAAACGGATAATAAAGATGATGATGTTGCAGAAACTTCAACTAAAACTTTGAAAGAGGTAAGTGAAATTGATAAAAATGATTTTGATGATGGTACAGTACAAAGAGAATCTCAAAAAAATGAAATTCTCAATAGTGACTAACTTCGGATCACTTTTATTTATACATTTTATTTTGTTGTATAATTTTAATTAAAACTAAAAAAATTAATAAATATGGGGTCGTATGCTATTAAAGTCAAGTTACTATGCATAGTAAATCATATTATCTGAACATGATTATGTAAGTTTATTCTATAATTTAAAGTTACAATTATTATCATTTGCATATTTTAATATTTTATATATTTACTAAATCTGTGTCGGTTCTTAGTTTATTACTTAAAAGGTTAATTAAAAATGAGAAACTTAAAATTATATTTACAAAAAAATTCATAAATTCTTTTTAAAATTAATTTTATTTAAAAATTTAATGAAAAGATTAATTTTATTATTTAAAGTAAAAATAATAAGTTGGTTTATAATTAATTTTATAAAAAAAAAAAAAAAAAAAAAAAAAAAAAACAATTCTAAATTTTTATTTTATATATATATATAAAAAGAAATTTAAGTTAAAAAGTTTTTATAAAATAAAAATTTTATTAAAAATAATTAAAAAAATTTATTATTATTTTAATTATTTTTAATAAATTTGAATTATTTAAATATATCATATATTTAATTTAAGTTTATTTATTATCAGATCAAATAACTAAAAATAGGCAAAAATAATCAAAAAAACAATAAGTTTTGATATAAATTGTATAAACTAATTTATAAAAATTCACAAATATACTTAAATAAGTAAAAAAAAAATAATTAAAAATAGTAAAAAATAATTATAACCAAAAAAAATATTATTTTTATATCAAAAAATCATTATTTAATTTGTAATTGTTAAATTTAAATAAAAAAATTTTTTCTAAAAAATCTGCTATATTAAGATTTATATAATTTTAAAGTTTAAACTAGGGAAACAGCAACGGCCGTTGTTAAGTCCGGAGCTCAGACATACGCATTCACATGACAATAGTAAGCAATCATTAAAAAAATTTAAAATATTGCTTAAAGTAGAAAT